GTTTTAATACATCCGAATTGGTTTCAGTCGCGTTTAATCGGAAATAAACAATAAAAATTCTATTAGTTTCTACTGGTTTTATTAGCGTTTTTTAACCATGTTGAATAGGATTTTATAATGTTCAATTGGAAATTCGCACTATGAAATCAATATATTTCTAATGGTTTCTATCGGGATGAAAAAGATTTGATTTAAACATTCCTATTCCATCCTATAAGTTTTAATACGTCTGTATCGGTTCCAATCGCGTTTAATCGGAAATAAACAATAAAAATTCTATTAGTTTGTACTAGTTTTATCAGCGTTTTTAATGATGTTGAAACGGATTTTAAAATGTTTATTTTCCAATTAAGCATTTTAAGATCCATTTCAACATCATTAAAAAACGCTAGTAAAACTAGTACAAACTAATAGAATTTTTATTGTTTATTACCGATTAAACGCGATTGGAGCCGATACAGACGTATTAAAACTTATAGGATGGAATAGGAATGTTTAAATCAAATCTTATTCATCCCGATAGAAACCATTAGAAGTATATTGATTTCATAGTGTGAATTTCTAATTGACCATTTTAAAATCCGATTCAATATCATCAAAAAACGCTAATAAAACCAATAGAAACTGTTAGAATTTTTATTGTTTATTTCCGATTAAACGCGATTGGAACCGATACAGACATATTAAAACTTAAAGGATAGAATAGGAATGTTTAAATCAAATCTTATTCATCCTGATAGAAACTGAAGGGGCAGTATGTCACTTAAGGTTAGAGATCGCTAGGAGCGCTGCGTGTAAAGATACTAGATGTTCGATTTGAGTTAGATTGCGTTTGTAACCGTCGCTCTCACCACCGATTTATACTTTGATATCATTAAAATATATCTCTTTAATTCATCATAATTGTGGTGTTATTCCAATTCCTATAAAATTGGGGGCTCAACCGGGATCGATGCAAAGAAAGAGAACGCTGATTACGACGTGGAAGGACAAAAACGCACATAAAGAAGGTGGCGTTAACCTAAAAGGGAAGTATTGTACGCATGCTTTTCCGTAGAAGGCATAACGGAAGCATAAAAACGACGACGACATAGCTTTTCCTGCAAGAGAAAAATAATTAGCGCTGATTAAAAGAAGTAAGCGAAGACGATATAAATAAGACGACGTACGACGTAAGAAAGAAAAGACGTTATAGAATATTCTTGAATGTTCGCTGACCACGCGATTGTTTGTTGCTATTTAGCCAACGAGTAGAGTGCTTATACAGAAGTAGCAGAAATGGAAAATTTAGGACAGATTGAGTTAATACGGGATAAAATCAGAACTGCGTCTCATCCGGCAATATAGGCATTATATAAGTTATTGATATTTGAGGTGGAAGGGGACAGAACTAGTCGACGTAAACTGCGAGAATTTTCGGGTTTACTTTTCAAGATGAGTCTGACGAATATCGAATGAAATTTGAATATTCTAATATTTTTAACATGGGAGACCTAACCTCAATATGCAATCTGCTTGGCCTGAACTATACTGGTACTAGAGAAGAGTTACGGTCACGCACAATACGTGCACTCATGGATATTGATAGTCTCGTTCCCAAAATAATCAAGACGAATATGAGGAAGAACATAATGATGCAGACGATGATGTTTCCCAACACAGCAGTGATAGCCAAAATGGACAGAGAAGCGACGATAGCCACTCAGAAAAAAATAAACATAAAAAAACAAAGAAAAAAGGATATTAGTTTTACTCTAAATTTCAAAGACGTGGAGGATACAGTCCGTACTTTTGATGGAAGCAACAGTTATCCAGTGGAACGATGGATTCCTGATTTCAAAGACGCGGCTACATTATAATATTTGAGTGTAATGGCATGCAAAAATTAATCTTTCCCAGGAAATTAGGGTTTATTAAAAGGTGCAGCCAAAACCTTTTTACAAAGTGAAAGAGTAGTTAAGAGTTGGAAAAAACTAAAGGTAATGATAGAAGAAGAATTCAGTTCTAAAATCAGTGGCGCTGACCTACATAAGATGCTTGCGGCCAGAAGAATGAAGAAAGAAGGAAGTGTACAAGAATACTATCTACTAATGAAGGAACTTGCTTCACGAGGTAACATTGACAAGGAATCCGTCACACAATATGTGATCGATGGGATTACAGATGAAGAGACTAATAAAGTACTGTTGTACGGAGCGAAAGATTTTGCTGACTTCAAGAAACGACTACGCACTTATGAGAAAATGAAACTGATGCAAAATAAAAGAGCAGCCAAAAATAGAGCTTTTACGAAAAACAAAGAAGATTCATCCAAGCAAGTAAAGAGAAGTATTAAGGAGTCATCAAGTAAGATCTTAAACTGTTATAACTGCGGTGGCAGTGGCCACAAAGCCAACACATGTAAATACAAAGATCAAGGTAAAAAATGCTTTAAATGTAACAATTTCGGTCATGAAGCGTCAAATTGTTTGAATAATAATTCAAAAGGTAGAATTACTACAGAAGAAAAAGCAGCAGTAAATTTAAATATCGAGACTGTTAGTCCTATTAATCGCATGTGTAAAGAAATTATTATTAATGATGTTAAAATCAACACATTAATTGATACAGGTAGCCAGTAGCTTTGTCTATTACGCAAAGACGTTTATCTGAAGTTAAATCTTAAAGAATTACTTAAATCATATACTATCATAACCGGAATTGCACAAAGCGAAGTCAAAACTTTAGGTTGTTTGCAAACTACAATGTCCATTGATAACGATAATTATCCTTTAAGGGGATCCTAAAGGTGCCTTTTCACGTGCTGCTAAAATAAGCAATTGAAGCGACAGATCTGTCGCTCTTATTTTAGCGGCTGAAATTTTGTAGTTTGAACAGTTTCAACTACAAGCGTCAAACGCTCAAACGCTATGTGACATTATTTGACAGTGCTGCCGTGTTGTGTGGACTCACTACTCTCACATTGACTAACAATAACATAACCTATAATAAAAGGCTTCGATTCGAGAGAAGTGAATCGTGTGAGGGAAAAATGAATCGTTTAAGGGAACCTAATATAGATACATATAATGAAGTAAGTATGAAATAAAATACATATAACAAATTAAGTATATAATTACCTATTAGTTATGTAAAATTTGTGAGAGGTGAATTGTATATTTTTAATAATTAATTACAAATCTTATAATATAAACCTAATTATATATAATTACTATAAATTTCTATTTTTATTTTTAATCATTTGTCTTGATTGATATACATCTCATTGAGAAATGTATATAAAATATTCTTCGGTAGCATGAAATAATATAATGGTTGTTTCTTTATTATTCTCATAATAATGTATTTCAGGAGTTTGGAACTATTGTGTATATCGCGACTTGTGGCTTGTGAAACTATATGTAATATAGATGATATTACGGAACATGAATGTCTTCAAGGATATGCTCACTATCATTTTGATGAAAATTCTTACTACTTTCATCCCATGTGCGGTATGAAAAAGTAGTGTAAATAAATAAATTATTCCATTTAAAAGCATTATCTAAATTTTGTAACAATTTGTAGATGATGGAACTATATTGAGACGGAGTTTGGTTAATAATGAAAAAATAACAGTTCAAGAGAATCCAATGATAAATAAAGGAAAAAATATAAGGAAAAAATTGAGTATTACAGATAAGGAGGACTTGCTTCAAATCGAAGAGCAACTAATTTTAGAAGTTCATGCACGCGAAGCTTTGTGGAATCCTCAAATGGATCTCTCACATCGTAACAGAAAAGCGACTGCACAATTATGGAAAGAAGTCTCTGAAGCCTTAAATGGTAATTAAAATATGTAGTCAGTAATAAAATTATTGTAAGAATAATATGTAATATATATATGTATATAAGTAGAATTTTTATTAATACAAAATTATTAATAATATATGTTTTCTAGGTAAACTATCAGAAATAGAAGCAAAAACAAAATTTAAATCATTGAATGATTCATATAGAAGAATTATTAGTACCGAATCATTGGCAAGTGGATCCGAAAGACCTGTCAAAAAAAGCAAGTGGCACCATTACGATAATTTATCATTCTTACGTGATTCTTGCTTGCAAAAACCGTAAGTATTGTATTGCTCTTCTCTCTCCAGAACACTATAAAAATGTCAATATTTCTCCATTTGATTTGTCAAGAATAATTTTTTTATTATATTAATATAAATGTATATTCAATGTCTTCAATTAACATTTTAATTGTTACCAGAACAAAATCGAATATATCATTCAGCACCAATTGTGATGATGAAATATCAGAAATATCGACTGATACTAGTCTTGAACATACGGTACAAAATAGACAATCAAGTGTGTTTTATATAATATTATGTAATATATATCATACATCTATGTATGTTTTATATTATATTTCATATTTAATACATGCATTTTTTTAGAATATAAGAAACAAGGCAAGAATAAGCAGGAACATTTTAATTCTACAGCAATAGAGAGAATTGCAGATACTTATTGTAAAAGAAATTTGCAGCCAACGGTTACTTTGCCTGATCCTCCAAAAGATGACGACGTGGATGCAATTGTATCTGTAGTTGAAAAACGACTAAGGAAACTTCCACCAGAAATGTTAGATAGTGCAGCGCAGAAAATTTTTCAAATAACTTATGATCTCGTACAAAACTCAAGGATTCAGTAACTCACAGTCAGAGATTATTTTTTCGAAATATTTTAAATATGTTAAACATATATATTTTATAATATATATTTTTTTTTAATTTTATATAAAATGCTGTTTATATATAAAATACTATTTATGTTACTTAAGTTTAAACACTGTTTATGTTACTTAAGTTTAAGACACTGTTTATGTTACTTAAGTTTAAAATAAAACTAATGGTGCGTTCCGTTTTATTTTATTTATTTGTCGTACCGAAATTACTTAAAATGAAAAACATATGTATTTACAAAATGTATATCTTTAAATATAATAATTATTAAACATAATTATTCTGCCATGGTACAGATCCCTCATTATTAAAATACATACAAAACTTTTCTCGTATTTCCATATTTGTTCTAGAACTCATATAAGATCCTGCTTTTTGTATTTCACGATAAGCAGAACCGCTTGCAAGGGTCTGTCTCCATGAACCAGGTAAAAAGCAGCCATTGGAATCATAATGATCAATCATATTTATAAGAATGTATTCATTTTTGTTTACATCCTGTTTTCGTAACCAATTGTGCAAACAAATAATAGCTTGCACAATTTTTTCCACAGTTTCTACTTTACCAATTATTGGCTTCCTCAGTATTCGCCATTGACAGGCAATAGCACCAAACGAATTTTCAATTTTTTGCCTGGCACGGCTTAAACGATAGTTAAAAATATTTTTCTCTTTGGTCAGTCCGCCTTTTCCTGGATATGGTTGAAGTAAATACTCTTTTAAAGGGAACGCTTCGTCTCCGACAAGACAATATGGCAATTTCGGACCATTTTCTGAAATATTCTCTGCATCAGGTACATTCATTTCATTTCGTTCAAATTTTTTACCAAATTGGCATTCTTTAAAAACTCCACCGTCGCTGCGTCTACCATACGCTCCGATATCAACAAATGTAAATATATTATTAACATCGCATACTGCCATTAAAATAATACTGTGGCTGTGTTTATAGTTATAATATGTAGAGCCAGCATTAGCAGGACACTGAAAAAAATACAGTATTATAATAATAATGAAATACTTGCATATAAATGATATACTATTTAAAACATACTTGAATAACAATATGTTTGCCATCTATAGTGCCGATGCAGTGAGGAAAATTGCATTCACGATCGAAGTCTGCTGCAATACGTTTCCAATCTTCATTTGTATAAGAAGATGGAAGAACAATTGGACATAACACATTCCAAATTTCTTCGCATGTTTCTGATATGATATTCTTTACTGTTGTATATCCTATTAAGTATTGATATGATATTGATACCATTGAGTCCCCAGAAGCTAAATATCTAATATATAATGTGAAAAAATTAAACAAATATAAGTCGTTTTGAGAGAAAGAAACATTATTAGAGTCAATATAAATCAGTTAATATAAATCAATTAAGAGAAGTAATTCTATTTTCAGCTGAAATAGATCTTGGTGGTTTTAATAATATTCACATGCAAAGCTTTTGCAAATATATTTTTCAGTTTTTATAAACTGCATTGATTTAATTTGTTTAAACGCAATCGTCAACAAAAGTTGAAATAATTGTCCATTTAATAATAATGCTAATAATTATTCTAAATTGCTTATTGCGAAAAATATCACCTCAGTTACAGAACAAATCAAATCGGCGTATATATAGTTTATATATATGTAAAAACTAAAAAATATATTTCCAAACATTTATATATAAGTATTAAGCATAAAAATCTGTTTTGATAAAGCTGCCCATGGAAAAAGAAACAGCGAAACGGAATGTGAACGCTTTAAAATATTTGTAGTATCGCGTTGATCCTTTTAGTATTATTAATTTAATTTCTAATTGTATATATCAGTGAATATAAATTATAAACTATCTATATCATCATTTTGGATTGTTTAATATTGCTGCTTAAAATTTTTTTATATACAAAATTAAACAATTATAAAGCAATTAACCTGAGAGTTAAACACAAACGTTCTTCAGCACTAATAGGCTCTCTTAAAAATGTCTGCTTATGGAGTTTCGGTCCAACTATTTGTAATAGTTCTTCAAGTTGCGTTGATAACATGCGAAAATAATTAAAGAAATCTTGCATCTTCTAACCTCAAATATGGTAAAGTAGCTTTATAAAATCCGTATTTATCGCGATTTTTAAACAATGGTGCAATCCAAAACTTTTTTTTAGAGTAACATCGTTTTATTGTTTGACACTTCAGAAACATAGCAATGATAAAAATAGTATCATTTTCAATTTCACGTTCAAAAATTATTTTTCTATAATTTAACAACCAATGATAATATTTCTTTTTTCTCGAAGCCATAATACTGATATTAATACTGTAAATGATCTTCTTCTTTAATTAATAGCTCCCGCCTTCAAATAATGAAATAAGAGATCGATACGGCCAGATCACGTCTTTAATGAAAACCGAGTAGTTCTTCAGAACTCATGGTGGATGACATTTTCGTAAAAGACATGTATGTACATACGTACATGTATGTACATCAGTCGCTTAATTTTCGAGCTGCCCTATTTCATGTAAAAAGTTGTCGCTGTAACAATTCTGCGACAAAAGTTGTCACGTGACCTATTTTTGTCGCTGGAACAGCCAGTTTCAGCAGCTCGTGAAAAGGCACCTTAAAGCGACGGCCGAACTTGATCGAGGTCGGTATAACAGATTTGTGACCGTTCACTTACGCCCTCTGCCTGCCGCGCGCCGCCGCTGGCCCCGAGCCGCCGCTGGCCGTGCGCCGCCGCTGACC